TCCCAGCTACTCAGGAAGCTGAGGCATGAGAACCACTTGAGTCCAAGAGTTTGAGGTTGCTGGGAGCTATGACACCCTAGCACTCAACCCCAGGATGACAGAGTGAGATTCTGTCTCAAAAAAAAAAAAAAAAAAAAAGATTAGTGAGAAAAGCATGTCTAAAGCCAATATAAGCCATAAGCTAGGCCTCCTGCACCAAACACCCAAACTGTGAATACAGAAGATAAATTCTTGAAGGAAATTAACACACTGCCACACTAGGAAAAAAATTTTTCCCTTGGTGTTTTCATGGTGTTTTATTTTAAAAATACAATAAAAACTCTGAAAACAAACCATCCTTCTAATTTAATGAAAAATCTGACTGTTTTGTTATCTGTGCATGAGTTATACGCAACTCATACAATGCTAGAATCTATGTCACTCATGACATACTTACTGAATTTGTTTCTGAGAATTGAGTCTCTTGTCATTCTACAAGTATACTTAGTTGTGTCTAGAGTGGACCCGTGGATGGTCCTAGATGGTGACCTCTGAATCATACCCTCTAAGTATGTGCAACAATGTCACACTGCTGCATACTATCCCTTGATTTCATTCAAAGAGCCACAAGGCAAACATTTAAGGCAAAACATGCAACTAGAAGTTATGGTGATAGAAGATAGTCCAGCACATGTGGTGCCCTTTGGCAGGCGGGATGGAATAGGAAGACAGGAGGTGGGGTACTTACCTGCATACTATACTGCTCCAAAGGTCAAGAGATGTATAAATTATATGTGTCTATATTCATGAGGCTCTCAACTCAAAACTAGCATGAGTTAAATACAATTCACATGGCAGTTAATGTGCTAAAAGTGCTACCCTAGTGAACACATGAATCATAAAAAAGCAAAACAGCCTCATTCCAAATATGGAGAAAGTTTTAGTGGCCTAGGTAAAAGATAAAACCAGCCGCCAAGCCCTTCAGCCAAAGAAAGCCTAATCTGGAGCAACACTCTAACTCTTGAATTCTATGAAGACTGAGAGAAGGAAGCTGAAGAAGGAAAGCTGGAAGCTAGCAGGGGTTGTTTCAAGAGGTTTAAGGAAAGAAGCCAACTCCATAACATGAAAGTACAAGCAAGGCGAACCAGCAAGCACTGATGCATTAGCTGTATCAAGTTATCTAAGAAGATCTAGCTAAAATGATTGGTGAAAGTAGCTTTGCTACACAAGAGATTTTCAATGTAGACAAAACAATCTTCTGTTGGAAAAAGATGCCATCTAAGATTTTTCATAGCTAGAGTCCTTTCATAGCTAGAACACCTGACTTCTAAGTTTCTAAGGACAGGTTGATTCTCGTATTAGGACCTAATGCAGCTGTGACTTTAAATTGAAGCCAATACTCACTAACCATTCCAAAAATCCTAAAGCCCTTTCAAATTATGCTAAATCTACTCTGCTTATGCTCTACAAAGCCTGAATGACTGCATACCTGTTTAGAGCACAGTTTACTAAACATTTTAAATCCACTGAGACCTAATGCTCAGAAAAACAGATTCTGTTCAAAATAGTACTGCTCACTGACAGTGCAACTGGTCAAAAGCTCTGATGTAGATATACAAAGAGATTAATGTTATTTTCCTGATAGCTAATGCAACATCCATTCTGCAGTCCATGGATCAAGGATTCATTTTGACTTTCAAGTCTTGTTATTTAAGAAATATATTTTGAATGCTGGGAGAGGTGGCTCCTGCCTGTAATCCTAGCGCTCTAGGAGGCCGAGGCGAGTGGATTGCCTGAGCTCATGAATTTGAGACCAGCCTGAGCCAGAGTGATACCTCATCTCTAAAAATAGCCTG